CAGCGTAATTTTATATTTCAATTTTGTCTGAAAAGTAAAGGACAAAGGCTCACCTTTTGAGCCTTGCAGGCAGCGGCTAACGGTAGAACATCATGGGGATGGGCTGCGTGACGATCTCGAAGACAGTGTGCGCATATCGCGATCTTGCAGAGAGCGCAATAAAGAGTCAGCGGCTCGCCGTTGTGATCGGTACAGAGCGGCGTAGTTTCCGCGGCAAGGCCGCGAGCACCTTTGCCACCACCGTTCGATTGCCAGCTGCCCCGAGGCGGGCCCAGATTGTGCGTTGCCAGGGGTCCCCTTTTCGGATGGCACGATTCTCTGCATCCGTCGCAATACAGCACCTGAAAAACGTGTCCAACCGCATCTATCATTTCTCCCATCTGAATATCAGTATGATTCCAGTGCTATCAATCAATTCGAACAGGCAAATAACATTATCATCGGCTACGTTTCAAGGTCGACCAGGCACGGTAATTACACCAAATGTAATTGTAATTTATTTTAAATTTCAGATTTCCCCCTCCTACGATTAATTTTACAAAAATTGCTCATCCTGATGTAACCATTGGGTTAATGAAGTAATAATAACAATTTAATGAAAGAACGGGAAAGTAATTTAATCCTAACGTGAAAACATACATTTTCAACCGCGTAATTACGCAACGTGTTACCGTGTCACTGAAGCAAATCAACGCGTGACGTATAAGCATTTTCGTACGCGTTTTACCCGCGTGTAAATAGCGACTCTCGTGGAGGGTGGATGAATACATTATACGAGAGGTTATATACGAGAGGAGGAGGGGGAAAACAAGGAGAAGGGAGAAAGAAGGTGAAAGAAGAGAGATATGACTGACCTCGCACTGCTCGCAGGCGACGGTTGCGTCGCGAGGTTCAGCCTCGCACATTTGACACTGCAGCCTCGTGTTACGCGATTCCTGATATTTCTCGACGATATGCTGCATCGCCCTGTACTTCGGCAGATTGTGGGCTCCGCCTTCGTCGAAGTAGACGGTTTTTTGGCAAACGGGGCAAGAGAGGCACAAAGTGCCTCCTGACGGTGGGAAGCCGCCGTTTCCCGGTGTGCCGACATAGCTTCCTGGCCGTGAGCTGGTCGACGTGCTGCTGCACACCACACCGGAATCCGTCTCGGAAAGGATCGAGAGTTTATCCGCTTCCTGGTCGGATCCCGGCGCGTTCGACGAATCGGTCGTCGACTCCGGAGGTGAATCCGGCGGTGCTTGCAAATTAACCGCGCACGCCAGACAAAGGGCATGCCAGCACGGCAGTAATACCGGTTCGACGAACAGCTCCTTACAACAAGGACATCGTAGCTCGTCCTCCATCCTCGCAACTCCTCGCGACTATTCACGACGAGAAACTAACTCGTAGCGCGCGCGCCTCTTTCTTTCTACTTCTCCCGACCCCGTCTGTCTGTCTGTCGATTTTCTTCCGATTCTCTTTCTTTCTCTCTCTATCTATCTATCTATCTCTCTCTTTTTCTGCCTTTCTTCTCTGTATCTGGTCTATGTATTCATCGATCTGTTTATCTATTCATCTACCTATCTCTATCTGTCTATTTGCCTGCCTGTCTGTCTATCTTTCTATCAATCTGTCTGCCTATTTTGCTCGGCTTCTTCTCTAGTTTGCCTGAACTCTACTACGCCTGTCAATTTTAATCCTTGTAATCTGTCTTTTCCGTGGATCCTTTTCTCCACGCCTAGTTCAACATTACACGCCTCCGTTCTGTAATTCGCGCGGCAATTTACCGTTTTACTGCCTACGAAAAAAACCAGAAATTTTGTTTCGATGGCGGCTCTTCCCGATTCATTCGTTGCACCAGAACGGTGCATCCACTTCCCTCAAATCGAATCACATTCGCTCGGATGAAGCATTTTATATCTTCTCTCTCGTTCCGATTACCCTTCGTCCATCGACTGCACGTACATCACATGCAAACGGTAAAATCAACTTTACATTTTCCCCTTGATCTAATTCGCAAGTGACGCCTTAATGCAACTCCCATATATTTGATTTCGTCTCGATCAAAACCGCTCGACTCTCGATTCAGTTTGTTCTTCGAATTATTATCGTGATCGTACGACTCGACCCCTCGTGTATTTAAGTACACGGAAATTTATGATTTCGTCTTCGGTTTCGTAAATACCGGCACAACGAATTCACCATACGACGCACATCGTGGAACGTCACTGAGTTGACTGACACCCGGACGCCGTAGTACCATTGCGCATCGCAATTGCGCATTGTTGCTCAGGGACGGCTTCTGCCATTCATCACCCGGAGAATATTTTTTTTTTTACCATATTTTTTTCATATCTCCTTTGCATCTCATTTATATAGCCGAGAATGTAATCACGATTTACATACCTCTAAAAATTTATGTCAACTATTATTGAGCTTTTAGAAGATGTACATACACGCAATAACATGCTATTCGTCATTTCACATTCCTTTAAAAAAAATGCCATGAACGCCTCACATTATTTACAGTACGGTCATTACACGAACGAATTTTTAAATCGATTTCTTTAAATATTTACGTACGCGCGCATTTATACGTGTGCTGCTTGTAATTCGTTCGCAATAAATAACAAATTGCAATTTTATTTTATCCGTATCCATCTTTCTTGTTATGTTCTTAATTACGAGAGTTCTTTCTTTTCTTTCTTCACTAATTATTCTTATCTTTTCCTATCATACGCTATCGTTAAATTTTCATTCATAAATTTTCGTTAGATTAAAAAATTCAATTAAATTATAAGATGATAAGTAGAAAAGATCATCATTCGTTGATGAGAGCAGATAAAATACTTAACGTAGAAAAAAACTGATTCCGATTATCAATTTAGTGTAAAGTAGCAAAGTATAAAAAGATGCCCATGGAGGCGCCACATACTAGATAATACAACTTTATCAAGTGACATCAGGCAAAAACTGACGTCAGAATTATGTATACATTTTTTAATTTGGTAAGTGAAGAAATTTACGACTAGATATTTCACGTACAGGATCACATAAAATAGCACTTTTTCAAAAATTCGCAGGTAAGAATCGCTGTTTCATTCAACTTTTTTTTTCCCTCATTGTTAACGTGCTTTTATCACATACGTTTGCACGTATGTTGTTAAAAATATCATCGAAAGCATGGCATTGTGAATTAGCAAAATATAACAAATATTGATTCTAAATAACAATAATTCTTTCGATACGATCAAATTTGAGTGTGATGTGGCATAATTATGTAATACGATTTCTTCACTCTGAAATGTCAGATTCATATCAGTATACATACATACTTATATTGTAGTGTATACTTGGAAAAATTACTTCACCAAAGTTCTTAGCAAACACTGATTTTTATTTTTTTCTTTCTAGAAAAATTTCATATAATCGATTATCGTATCAAAATCAAATATGCTTGCACCATTGACAAAAAGAGTCTTGTTACAGCAATATCTTTATACGTGTCGTTATGGATTTACTTATAGGTTAGTCGATTTATCGATTTCATAATATACAACGCGTTACGCAATCTTATCTATTCAAACTTAGTTGATATTAACCTAAAAGAAATGTTGCAAATTCGGAAAAACAGACTGGTGCATACTACGCGCAATTTTCAAACTACAATATGAATTAAATAAAATCACGCGTACAATTACTTTCAGCACAGAGTCATGCGGAACGTTCGACTTAGTTGTCGTTGGAGGCGGTATCGTTGGATGCGCCACTGCCCGGGAAATGTTAATAAGACATCCTAATTTAAAGATGGCGATCGTTGAAAAGGAAAATGATTTAGCGAAGCATCAAACCTCGCACAACAGCGGCGTAGTACACGCTGGCATTTATTACAAACCCGGCAGTATGAAAGTAAAAACATTAGCAACAATTGCATATATTTTGTTAACGCGCTTTCCTCCTTCTTCCTCTCGAGAGATATTCGAATATATGTGATAGTTTTAACTACACAGTAGAATAATGCTTCATTAAGAAATTTTTGATCCGGTAGAAAATGATTGCAGGCAAAACTATGTGTGGAAGGTTTAAAGCTAAGCTACGAATATTTCTGCAAACATGATATACCTCACAACAAAGTTGGGAAACTCATAGTAGCTCAGAATAAGGAGCAAGTTAAAAAATTGGACGATTTGTACGATCGGGGAGTAAAAAATAATGTACCGGATCTCCAAATAGTCGAGAAAGATTGTATATCGAAATACGAAGCTAAATGTCAAGTATTAAGATTATTTTTTTCATTTCCGATATCGTAAAAAGAGAAAAAAATTTATATTCATTAAAGAAAAATGTGTTACGAGTTTCAAAAGCTATAATAACAAGAAATATACATTATACAGGGAGAAAAAGCATTATGGTCACCGTGGACAGGTATAGTTGATTGGGCACTGGTTTGTAAACATTTTGCCGAAGAATTTCAAAAAATGGGTGGAAAAATATATTTAAATTATGAAGTTATTGGTTTCTCGGAGATGGCAGAATCTAAAGATAAGGCAGAGTTATCTCCGATTTTAGTACAATCGAAAGATAGAGTGTGTACAGATATTACGAACAAATTCTATAATTATTCATTTTCAATTTTTCTTTATCGTACTCTAATATCGTAGTGTATGCCGACAAAATATGTGTTAACGTGTGGTGGTTTGCATTCGGATCGTCTCGCAGTAATGACAGGATGCGATCTTAGTCCACGAATCGTTCCATTTCGAGGCGAATACTTGTTGTTAAATGAGAGCAAAAGGCATTTATGCACCACCAATATATATCCTGTTCCAGATCCTAGATTTCCATTTTTAGGTGTTCATTTTACTCCTAGAATGAACAACGATATATGGCTCGGTCCAAATGCAGTTTTAGCTTTTGCCAGAGAGGGCTACCGGTACACACATTAATAAATTTTAATTACATATAATAATCAAATATATACTATCATTACTATATGGTAAATTCTCAGGTGGCGTGACATAAATATAAGAGACTGTATAGAAATGGCAAAATTTCCTGGATTGTACAAACTCTGTTTTCGATACTTTATACCTGGATGTAAAGAAATGATTAAATCAATTTTTTATCCACTCGTAGTCAGAGATTTGCAAAAATTCATTCCCGAAATATCTGTTAAAGATATAAAAAGGTAAATGAAAAGAATTTAATTTTTCTCACTTTATCTTATCGCGCAAATAGATAATTTTTTAATATACTTAATTCACTTACACAGAGGACCAGCGGGTGTTAGAGCACAAGCATTGGACAATAATGGTAATTTAGTAGACGATTTTGTATTTGATGGAGGAAAAGGTAGCATTGGTAGTAGAATATTACATTGTCGCAATGCACCTTCTCCTGCTGCAACCAGTTCTATGGCAATTGCTAAATTCATTGCCGATAAATTGGAAACTGATTTCAAGATTTAACAATTCTTTGAACTTTAATCTTTGGTCAAAAAGGAATTTAAATAATGAATATTCAAATTTTCTATGTACAATAATATGTGCAGAGTTCAAAATTTATGTTTGCGAGAATAAGTGAAAATGTATATTAGAAAATAATTTGTGTTCATGACTCCTGTATGCATTATACAAATATATTTTGTACTTTTCTCCGCATAAAATACGCATATTACAAAGAACAATCTCTAAAAATAATATTTATATTTTATATCAAAACGTTACAACATTCTTTCTTTTTTCAGTTCTTCTCTTTTACTTTCTTTTTCTTATTATTTTCTTTCTTTTTTTCTTGTTCTCCTTTTTTTTTTATCAATCATACATATGTTTCAGATA